GCTACTGTGCATCCCATGAAGGAAGATGGACTTGAAGCCTAAGCAAAAGTTTCTACATTAGGAGGCTTGAATATGATGCTTAACTGCTTGTCTTTTGTCATTCAGTTCCCCAAAATCGAACACAGCTGATTGAACCTTAAAACACACACGAGAAGTAATTCCTCTAAGGAGGGCAAAGGAGATCTTATAGGAGAGCTATAGGTAAATGTGATTTCTGCAGTTAAGAGGAGTAAAAATTATAGCAATTGGTAGTCCAGAGAGGAAGAATCCTTTTATTTGAAACATATCCATATTTATATTTAACATATTCAAATAAAACTTCAACGTTTTCAACACCTCTGTGATTTCAGAAACCAGTAGTACAAAAAAATTAACTCATATTGAGCACAAGATGATCATATATCCCCCATATATATACAGGAATATTTTGGCATCATGTAATACATACAGAGAAACTAGGATGGACTTCTGTATGACTGGCTGTATTTCTCTTGTACTGGTCAGCACAAAATCAGGACTCTACTCAGGCATTAGTCCTTCTTTGTGATCAGTGGTTTACTAATTAAAGGAAAGCCAAGGATACCCTCACTAAGCTTATATGTTTAGTAAAATATTAAAGCAGTGCTGTTGAATTCACAGTTTATGGTGATAAACTACTCATTATAATCATAGCTGTAAGAATCCAGTCTTCAGAGTCTCTGTCAGGTATTGCGGGTCAGAGAGCAGAAGGCTATTACATCCCAGAGACCTGACAAAATTTAGCAACCAGAAGGAATGCCAGACTTGCTAAACTTCAGCTTTTTCAGATGCAAACTACTTGACACCCAAGGTGGTTAACCACGTAAATTACTCTTACATATAGAATATGCTAAAACTGTAGGTCCTGAGGCAGCAGCTTAGTTTACAAATCAGTGTTTTGTCCAGTTGTGAAAAATAAATGGGCAAAATTATGAAAGCAGCATTTGCTTTTCTCTGCTTGCACTCCAAAACCCCATGTAGTTTTACAGACAGCTTTTCTGATCAATATCTTAGTGAAAGCAAGAGATTATAGTCATTCAGGCATGAGTAACTAGTTTTTTGATCAGTTAGGGTATATTAAGAATTTATAACTTCTTCTGGGTTTATTTTATACTTAGATAATCTTAAATAAATCTAACTAAAAAAACAGAAATTATGTTTAGCTATTTGGTCCATAACTATGAGACATGAAATATGGTTCAGCATTTGTGACAGAGATTATTATTTTAAATGCTAATTTTGGAATTATTTATGTTTTCTCTCTGGTTCCTAGCATTTGAGGAAAACAAATATTTGAATAAATCACAGTTTCAAAGAGTTTAATGGCATGGACTACTCTCTCATGCTATTGAAATTTATCTCATGAAACTTATCTCATGATCACATGCCTTTGGCAATACATCATTTGTTTACAGGAGAAGGCTAATTATTTCATAGACAGTTGCCCTTTGGAAGTATGTCAGTGGCAGGAAACAAAGACAACACAAGGGCATTTGCATCTTGCAGGAAGAACTTAACTGGATTCCAGTGGCTGATAGGTCAAAATGTGAGAATCCCTGACTACACATGAAGTGGGAGTTTAACTAATAATATAGAAAAAATATATGCGTATAAACTACAGTTCTTCCAGGTTGCTGTCTTTGAGGGTAACGTAACTGTAGTCCAGCTTTGCCCAGTGTTCTTGACCTGCAGTGAAATTTGTCTTAGTTCTCATTATTCTGATTAGAAGATGATGTTAGAAATGGTGGGGAAATGAGTAATAGATTTAGCATGTCCACAGATAGATCGATATTTTTACTTATATTACCTTGCTTGCAGTTCCAGTGATACTATTTAAGTCCTGGACAGAATTGTATACCAAAACCACATCTGTATGAAAATTCTGAATTTGGATACATTTGGATTTGGATCTATGTTTTGCCTCTGACTTAAGTCTAAACTAAATTTCTGATTTAAACACCCTATGACTTTTAGATTTGCAGTCAAAATGGAAATTTCTGACTGGTTTTGGTCACTTATCCTTTGTCAGGATGGAAACCAAAATAATAGCATATGTGAAAATATGAAATAATAGAAAAAGGAAAAAAATCTTAAAAGGCTGCTTTCAGTTTTGCTGTGTTATTATTTTACATTTGCAGCTTTCACCCTTCCAAAATATAAAGAAATACTTTGGTTCATGGAAGAACAAATATAGTTCTTTTACACATCTCAAAAAAAAAAAAAAAAGAAAAAAGAAACCTGAGTATATTTAGACTCTAATTGTGTTTCATCAAGAATCACTGAAAAGATGAGAGTACATCTAACAGTCATATATGTCACAAATTAATTTTATTTGGGGTGATACATTACTGAAAATGCATCAGTTTGGGTTAGACAGCATTTTGGAAACTATCAAACCAGTAAATAGAGACTTGACATGACATTAGGATATACTAATCAGTTACTGAAACTATGCAGAGGACACTGTTTATGACAGTGATTTTCAACAATCCTAACAGCCTCTGTTCACCTAGAAGCTGAAATTGTTTTAGTTGTATTTCTCCCAAATTTTTTTCATGTGTTCAGTATTGCTTTAGCTTGTACATACTGCACGTACTCTAACCTAAATCCCCTGCAAGATAAACATACTTGTTTACAGAACATGTGTGTAGAACATGTGACATGAATTGGAGGAAGGTTGTGATTTATACAGACAGAACATTATAAATAAAAAGCTTTCATGTGTATGCAATAAATGAGCCCTAATTTGGGGATCTACAGATTGTCATTGAAAAGAAGCAAAACAAAACAGAAATCAAAGAATGCTTTTCCTGCAAATATAATGGTGGATTTTCCTACTGTGAAATAGCTTAAGTCAAACCTCTTTAACCTCTTTTGTATCATATTGTTTCTTTTCCACACATTACAGCTTTCAGATTCTCAAATTATAATGCCATTAAACACAGAAATGGCATTATATGCCATTTTATATTTTAATTTATATTATTTAAAACACTAAAAAAGCCCTTTTGAAAAATATCCATGAGACTCTTCTGAGTATTTATCTTTATTTGCTTTCTACATATTTTGTGCAGAGGAAATGTATCTGCAAAGACCTCTTTAGAATTGTCTTGAGCAGTGTATTTCTCTAGTTCAATCAAAAATTTTTTTAAAAAAATGTAATAAATCAAGTGAAAATAATTCAATATATCATTAAATGATCTTAACACTAACAAAGTTCTGAGTAAGTTCTGCTAACCTAGTTAGAGAAAGAAAAGTCTTTATAAAAATCTAAGTGACAAATTTTGCACCTTATATAAAAGAGAATAAAGCTATGCTGCAATAAAACCAAAACCAGAAACTGAATCCGACCCTTGGACGCAAGCCTGTGAATACTACCTGTATGAATGACTCACAAGAAGAAGTTACAGCAGATTTGCCCATGTGTTTGCTTGTTACTAACACAGAAGAAGTGTCTTGCTTTACTATATTGTAGTATAGTACAGGTAGGCTAGCATTATCAGATGGGCAAGAGAGAAGTAGGCTTCCCACTCCTGTCTAAATTCAGTAGGAAGTAAGCTCAGAGTTGAAAATCTTAATAATGGCTTTGAGATAGGTTTCCATTTAAAATATTCATTGTATTAACACACATGGATAATTCACATGTGGATAACTGAAATATCACTGTAACTTAGAAGCTCTTGTGTATGTAACAGAGGTCAAAGAGTCTTTTATGGCAACTACTATGTATGCAATGTCTTACACCATGCCTTTACAGAAGGAAGCAGTGTTCAGAGATCAGGGATTTAGTTTAATCCCTGTTTTTGAAGGGAAAAAACTGCTAAAGACAGGAACAGAAATACTTCTTGCTACACTTATAAACATAGTTAGAAGATATGGAGAAATGTTTAACTGATAAACATCTGAAAACTTAAAAAAATGAGCATATGCCTTGAGTTCTTTTTGCTTCCATTGTGTATATTCTTGATAAGAAGATAAATGTGCTTTTTGGGTCTGCAGTGGAATCCAGCATTCAGTTTAGTATTAAATTCTTTACAAAATTAGTTTATAAATGATTAAGAGATTTTTTAAAATAAGCGGTTATTAGAAGTCCAGCATTATTATGCAACATTGTTATTTTGTTATAGAATTGATGCCTGTAACCTTCAATAACATTCATCCTTTTCAAGTGTACAACACAGCTATAAAATCTATTAATCATGCATTAACCCATTATAATTAGAACTTTTATTTATAGTGTAACCAAATCAAATTTATGGTTTTGACCTCTAGTAATATGTTTCAAATTCTGAATGTAATTCTTTATGATATAGGGAGTTATCAAGCACTAAGATTTGGTATGTAAGACATCTAAATACTCATGTCTTTGGTGTGCAAATATTTCAGTTTAATTATTCTAGTTCTGATTTTTTTTTTTATTCTGATAACGTACTTAATATATAAAGTCATGTTTTTAGAAAAAATGATATGTAACGTTTTCATGGCTTTTTTAAAAAAAAAAAATCTGGGAAAATACAATTTCTCAAAAATAAATACTACAAACCCTTTAGCCTTCTGTTTTCCCCCTTGTTAAATAGCACAGCCATTTGCCAGTATCTATCTCCTCTGTTTTACAAGAAAGCACTCTTTAGCCACTAGATGTCTTTTTTGTTATCAGTCAGTACTGTGATACTGGAAATTATTTTGTAAAGAACATCCTGAGGTGGAAGGTGTTTGAGTTTGTTCCTCTTGGTATATGGTTTCAGTGGATAACATTGTTTAAAAAGACAGACAAGAAACAAAAGCAAAGAAAAACAAAAAAACCTCCTGGGACTGAAATACTTTGTATGTGTTGTTATTTGCAGTGCATGCCAAGACATTCATGGGCACCAGAGCCAACCTGGCGAGCTAATTAAATATATAAATGTATGTGTTTAAAACAGCCTTATAAGGAGCATTGGAAATCTGCAAGATGAGCGAATATCTTATAACTTCTTCCGCAGGTGCGAGGATAGCTACAAGCCATGGACTTTCTGTCCTGCTTCTTGTTTGTGGCTTTGTGAAGGGTGCTTTGCTTTAATCTAAAAGTGCTGACTTTTTCCAATATCACTTTCTCTTCTTAAAGCAAAGAGCAAATCGCCTGTAAAATCCACGGAGCGGACAGCAAAGTTGACCCTAACCTCCAACCACCACTCTGCACCCAATGTACTCTAAATCTCTACACAAGGAGCACCTTCTTCAGGAAGTACAAACAAAAATACTAATAAAATAAATAAATAAATAAATAAATACATAAATAAATAAATAAATATTATAAAAAGAAGAGGATACCACATGTTTTCCTGATATATCTTATTTTCTTTGGCGTATCACTGATCTTTTATTTGAAGAGAACTGGTGTGATGTAATCAAACGTTTTGTAACAGCAAGACCTAGTTTCCTTTTCTTTCGGCAAGGAGAAGCCTCATCCTTGACTTCTCAGGGGTTGGCCTGCAAGTCATCAGTATTATAAAATTAACCATGGATGACATACGGTTTCCTACGCTGAAAGAACCGTTCCAGCCTGGAAGCAAACAGAGGCCAAATAATGGAACAAAACATAGTGATTTAACGTCGACCCCAAAAAAACACCCCACAAACTTTATCAAAAAGTCTTTTTTTCTTTTTTCTTTTTTGCATGATGATTAGGGAGGAGAAAATAAATTCTACAAAGTAGCTAAGCAGACTAGAGGACATTGTTTCTGGAAAACAAATTAGGAGATTTTTCTTTTGAGTTGTTTGGGATTTTTTTTAAAATTTTTTTTTCCCCTGTGGGTTTTTTCCTGTCTTTTTTTTTTGTTTGTTTCTTGTTCAATGGTGGCAATTACTGACTTAGGCCAACCCCTGATTATTGCGTGGAGGTTTATATATATACATCTTTTTTTTGTGTGTGTGTTCTATATTTCAGTGTGTTTTCTCTAATTTTGCAACTCCTGTATATGCAAAACTAACTTAAATTCTGTAAATTGCTTACAGTCTGTGTGATATAACTTCAGAGTAGACATACTTTGGTCCTCATGCAAGCCAGTTTTTAATATTATCTATATGTCGTGCCACCAATAGACATCTTTATTTCCTTTTTTTGCAAACCCATCACTTTTTAGTTTGTAATTCACTACTGTGTGGATTTTGTAATACATACCTTCACTTCCACTGGTTTGACCCCTTTCAGCCCTCTGTTTACTCTGTAAATGCACATTAAAATTTGTTATGGTCTCTAGACAATGAATTATTTTAGTTTTGTGTATGTTGTGTTGGAGTTCAGATGCTGAAAGCTCTTTTAATTTGTGATGTTTATAGAGGATTAAGTGATTTGATCACTAGAAACTGTAAAATTAAGGTTTGCAGTCAAATAATGAATGCAAAGGAAGGTTAGAAGGGGAAAGCAAAACATGCTTTAAAGGATATTCTTTTGGTAAAGAGTTTTATGAAAGTTAATTTATTACACTGATAAACTATATTTGCATCACAGCTCCTTCTACATGGCCAAAGAAGTGTCTTTCTTTGCTTTTTCTGGAAGTGGATTGTCATTATTCATTGATATTCTTAATTAAAATACTTCATGTCTGTGAACTGAACGTGAGAATTTTGCTGTTGAATGAAGTAATATGCATTACATGAATTACATTCATTAATGCAGGAAGGAAAAATTGCTATCATTTGCAGTTGCAATCAGGAAGGGTTTTTTTTTCTTGTTCCTCTCCTTTCACTGATGCTGAACAATCCACACCCTTTCATTAATCAGCACAGATAATCACGTATACCACATGCTTATTATGATCTATTTACAGCAGCATTAAGTAGCTGCAGTGTGGTCAGCTGTGTGATTTCTCCTCATTTTGTAAGTAATGTAGAAGGAAGTGAAAAAGTATGTTTAATATCTCACCAGTCCATGGCCTACAGGCCTAATATTTTATTTCAAAAAGTCTATAAGTTTGAAGTGCTCCCCCATTAATTTCAAAGGAAAAAGAACAAATAGTAGCATAGAATCAAAGGTTAACATACTAACACTTTGGAAGAGGATAACATATTTGTGCAAATCTTACTTACTTTAACCATACATTCTGTAGTATAAACTTGTCGGGAATAGTCTGTCTTCCTTTGGTTTTAGCAGTAATAAAGAGAGTAGATGTTTGGTTTAATACAGATAAATCAGGAATAACTGTCAGGAGGAGAAGGGAGAAAATTCTTTTATTTCAACATAAAGTTAATGACCCACTAGGAATATTGTGTGTTGAAAAGGTTTTGCTCCATAGTAATAACAGTTTATCAGCTTACTGCGAAAAAAGAAACAGTTCCCATTAAAGTGTTCTGAATCAAAACAAGTATTGTGGATTGAAGAGGAAGTAAATTTAAAAACAGCCAAAGGTTTTTGAAGTCTTGTTTTCTGAACACACCTATGGAACCACACTTTGAGAGCACTGAAGGAAAGGCTACATTTTCCCCGTGAAATAGGTATCTATGACTGGACACTACAAGAATCTCTCATGTGGAATTCAGAAACCTCATTTTCCATTGGTCTTAACCAGAACCAAATGCTTAACATCACATGTGTTTCACACATTTACTGTACATATATATCCTGTATGAATATTCCATGTATGCACATAGTCATATAGACAACCTACAGTGACATATGGGATTTTTCAGAAGCAGTTTAGTCTCACATTGTTAAAGTTAGCCTATGATTACGATTTTACACTGTGTTTTGCTTTATGCTCTTAGCTGCTTCGATATAAATCACCATGTACTAGGAAGTAAAGAAACAGCTGAAATTAAAAGCAGAATTCTAGACCACTCGGACTAGTGTGATAAAACAACTCAGAATACATTACCAAGGAAAGTGATGCATTGTGATCTGCTATTGTTCTTCAACAGTGTCAGCAAAAAATGGATAAAAGAATTCTGTGGACTTCTGAAAAGCCTTTTAATTTTGCATGAGATGCTAAAGCTAAGGTTGTTGTTCTTCCTCCCTCCCCAAGATAATAAACCCAAATTCTTTGTATGAGGCTGGTCCATCCCTTCTGTTTGTAGATCTAGAGACCAGCTTTACAGTTTCTGCCAATCTGTGTGGTTGCAGCAGCAACATCTCCTAACAGAAGCAGGTATTGCATTTCTTAACAACTGTTCTTCAAATCAGGAATCTGTCTGAAACTCAAAATAATTATCAAAATAGGAATTAAGTTGCAGTAGCCCCCCCCTTTTTTTTTTTTCTAAGAATTCAGTTATGAATAATATTTGATATAGGAATGGAACTACTGTCATATTCTTCCCTGGCCCAGTTCTAGTTTGGATTTAAGACTAATAGTGAAAAAGCTGTCTTAATTATATCCTTAAAAGCTCCACTGAGTTAGGTATCTAAAAGGGCAACTTGCATCTAGCAGTGGCAAAATGTCTCAAAGCCCAATGTCCTTAAACTTTCTACAAAATTAATCTAGTTTTGGGGTGGTCATTTACATGACCGATGCTTCTCACTTGGTGTCCCCAAGGCCTCATTGCATATCTGACATTCTTGTCAGATTGTTCCAACAGTTTTTGTTTTTAATAGAAAACAAGGGTGAGTATGAAACACTTTTGTATTTATATGCCATCTAAGAGCATCATCATCATCATCATCATAGCTAAAGAAGTCATTATCTCACTCTACTCAGCACTTGTCAGGCCATGCATGGAATACTGTGTTCAGTTTTGGTCCCTGCTATACAAAAAAGATGTGAACAGGCTGGAAAGAGTCCAGAGAAGGGCCACAAAGATGATCAAAGGACTCAAAGCGTGCCATGTGAAGAAAGGCTGAGAGAACTGGGTTTGCTCAGCCTTGAGAAAAGAAGGCTTAAGGGAGACCCTATCTCCATATTTCAGTATTTAAAGGGTGTCTACAGAGAAGATGGAGACTCCCTTTTTACAAGGAGTCACATGGAAAAGGAGAGGGGTAATGGATACAAGTTACTCCTCAGAAGATTCCGATAAGATGTTTCACAGTGGGAACAATCAGCCATTGGAATAATCTCCCCAGGGAAGCAGTGGATTCCCCAACACTGGACACTTTTAAGATTCAGCTGGACAGGGTGCTGGGCCATCTTGTCTAGACAGGACTTTTGACAAGAAAGGTTGGACCAGAGGTTCCTTGAGGGATCCTTGGGACTCCTGATGTCCCTTCCAACCTGGCATTCTATGATTCTATGATAAATACAGCTCAAATGCTTTCAGATGCTACCTCCAGTGAATCTAAAAGAAACATATTCCAACTCCATTAAATAACAGCTTTTGTATTGCATGGGAAAAAAAAAATAAATCTGTAGCACTTTTGTACTGCTGTGAAGGATTGGTACTGCTACAGAGCCTGTCCCATAAATTCTTGTCCTTTTCAATGGTTACCAAAATTCTTTTAATCTCTGGAACTTCATGAATGCTAGTTGCTGCATAACATCTTTGAACTTTTCTTTCTTAATTGCCTTTTGTAGATTCTTCAAATAAATTTATGGACCAGAAGGGGTCCTCAGACCACAGATTTAAAAAGGCTTGTAAGACTAATTTAGGATTGACTGTGTGTTCCTCAGAATTCCTGTTAAGAAAGGTACTAGAAAATTTGAATGGTAAACACTGAATCTATCATGAATTATTGTTATTTATTTTTCATTCTCAGTATTGAATATTTGTATTACAACACTACCTGAAGGCAAAGTCAGAAGTAGGTATAAACATACGAGGCATCACAGCAAAAGCAATAGGACTGCTTGGAGGTTCATACCTATGCATCTAATTTAGTGCCACTGTGATTTAGGATCAGAAAATGCCCTAGAACTCGTTTTTGTCACATTAATTCTTTAAAGTATTTTTACTTAATGCAAATAAAATGAGGAAACAGTACCTATTACAAAAATCTGAATGGTTGCTTAATAATTTTCAGTGTTAAACATTTAACTTCTAATGATCTCTACAGTGATGTCATCATTTAATTCACCATTAAAAAAAATAAGACTGCATTGCTGTCAGTCATCAAATCCTTCCTCACAAAAAGGAAAACAGTTCTATCCTTTGTTATTTGCAGGATGGGGGAACATTTGTCCATGACATTACTATCAGTAAATGTCAAATGTTGTTTACAGAGCTAAAAGCATTAAGAACCAAGAATGGGATCAACATACTTTGCAATATAAATTTTTAAAGGTTAATCTTCTATGATTATCTTAGTTAAACAATGCTAAGCACAAAGTAAACTGCTTAATACAAGTCACCATAAATGACTTCAGTCTTTTGTTCTGAGATTCCTAAATATTGATTTATTTGACTTCACAGTCATAAAGTTTGCACATACGTTCACATAGTTGAAGGATTATATATAGTTTTCCTAGTGCTCTTCCTTTAAACAATACAGGAAGACAATAACAAAGAATAAAGTTAAATTTGTCTGTAATAATGAATTACAATCAATTGCTAGAATTATGTGCAAAGTGTGCTTTCTTGAGTGTCAAGTGTAATTGCAATCTTATTTCATTTTCTCCTTTTTGCGCTATTCTTTTTTTGCTAAGTTTCAATCGAAAAAAAAAACAAGACAATACTGTATTTCTTACTACTCACTTCTTACAAGGTGACATAGGAGAAAATAATTCATCTTTTATATGAAAGAAGCTTGGGGAGAAAAAGAATCTATTAATTTAGCAACAATCTAAATGTTTACACTGTCCTGTCATCTCAGACTATCTCTGCTGGTAGGTTTACAGGGAAGGACCAACAGAAAAAGTGTTCTGTGTTTCATCTTGACTTCCCAGCTCTAAGAGTGTTTTCAGTTATTTGCCATCCTACAGCTAAGGGCAGAACTCTTCTGTAAGTTTCACAAATACAGTAATTTTCCCTGTAACTACCAGTGACAGACTGGTTTGAGTTTTGAAATTATAAGCACTTGCAACTCAAAATATTTTTCTATGTAGTTATAAAGTTATGAGGAATGGCAACTATTAAAGCCATAAATCTGGAAGAATATCACAAATTATTAATCTCTCAAACACTTTAATCAAACAAAGACTTGTGGTGGGGTTTTCTTTTAAAGTTTTGCTGTAACCCACTCTTATCCATATGGCTATAAATACTCTAGATTTGAATTCCAACTATACTGTGCTGACAGTACAGAGGGCCTTCAGATGGGAGAAAATGAATTTTTTCACTTATTGAAATGCTCATTTACAATGACATTACAGCAGAGAGAGAGGTCTTATGTGTATATGAGGCTAATTACAGTGATAGCTCATAAGGAAGCCAAAATGTACATAATAGACTATTAATTCCTTTCCTCTTTTTATATACCATGAACTTGAAAAACAAGAGGGAAGATTGGGTTTGACAACTATGCTTAAAATAAATTATTTCATTTAAATCTTTGAAGAAGCAAAGTCTCGAACATTCCTCATTAAAAAGACGTGTATAACTATGACCATTATATTATATGGGATTTAGATTTTAAAGCAAAGTCATATATTATATATGAAATCTTTGTATATAAAATTGAGAAGGAAGGAGATAATGACTTATTTTGCTACTTCTCATAGAATATTATGTTAATTTCTGCTCATTGTTTTCAATA